AATAATACTCCATTGCTTGGGTATACCACATTGTATTTATCCATTTATTGTCAGTTGATGGACTTTTTGGTAATTATGAATAATGCTGCTATGAACATTTTTGTACAAGTTTTTGTGGGAGCCTATTCTTCTTGGGTATATACCTAAGAGTAGAATTGCTGGGTCATATGGAAACTTTGTTTACCCTTTTGAAGAACTGCCAGGCTGTTTTTCAAAGTGGCTACACTATTGTACATTCCCATCAGCAGAGTATGAGAGTTTGATTTTCTCCACATCCTTGCCAATACTTTCTCTCTCTTTTTTTTTTATTATAGCATCCTAGCCGGTGTAATATAGTGTATCTCATTGTGGGTTTAATTTACATTTCCTTGATGACTAGTGGTGTTGAACATCTTTTCATGAGCTTTTGGCCATTTGTATATCTTCTTTGGAGAAATGTCTATTAAGAGCCTTTGACCTTTTTTAGTTGGGTTATTTATCTTTTTATTGTTGAGTGGAAGGAGTTCTTTATTTCGGATACTAGAACCTTACCAGATGCATGATTTACAAATATTTGCTCCCATTCAGTATGTTGTCTTAACTTTCTTGATGGTATCTTTTTTTTTTTTTTAAGATTTTATTTATTTATTTGACAGAGAGAGCAAGAGCCAGGAACACAAGCAGGGGGAGTGGGAGAGGGAGAAGCAGGCTTCCCGCTGAGCAGGGAGCCCGATATGGGGCTCGATCCCAGGACTCTGGGATCATGACCTGAGCTGAAGGCAGATGCTTAACGACTAAGCCACCCAGGTGCCCTGATGATATCCTGTGCAGCCGAAAAGTTTTAAAATTTGAAGTCCAGTTTACCTATTCTTTCTTTCTTTCTTTGTGGTTTTGGTGTCCTATCTAAAACCATTGCCTAATCCAAGGTCACAAAGATTTATGTCTGTTTTCTTCTAAGAGTTGTATAATTTTCTTACATTTAGGTCGTTAATCAATTTTGAGTTAATTTTTAAAAATAGTATAGGTAGGGGTCCAACTTCATTCTTTTGCAGGTGGATATCTCGTTGTCTCCATACTAGTTGAAAGACTGGATGATTTTTTTTTAAGCCACCTTCTGACTCTGAAGATTACATGATGCTTTGTAGTACATTAGTTTCTGTTGTCTAAATAGGTGGATAGTCAAGATTTCATAGGATGGCCATCCTTTTCTCAAGAATACATTGTGTCTAAAAACAGGGATTGTCCTTAGTCTTATATCAGTTTCTTAAACTTCTCATTTGCTTTCAATTCTGCCCTTCTTTGATGATGATTTGTTTATTTATTTTTAGGATCCTGGTTTGCTTCTGGTCTTTGACAGCTCCATTTTCTTTTCTTCCTCTTTTTGCACATAAAGTACACCTATCCCACCAACACTTTTAATATGGGAATAGTTCACTCACTTTATTTTTTAACTTTTTCATTTAGGTAGCTTAGCGTTTCTTCTCAAGCCTGACTGTAGCCTAATAAAAATTTCTCTGAATGTGCCACCAACACCTGGAACTTAGTGTGTGAAAAATGTGTAGTTAGTCTTCTTCCCCTTTTCATAAGCCCACCCATAGCCAGCCCCTCAGGCCCTTACATTTTAGAGCTTAATTACTGCCTTCTTGTTGATTTCTCATACCCTAGTTTGTCTCTGCATTAGGCCCTATACTCAAATGCTAGATTTAATCCCTTTCAGGTACCCTTTTCATTAAGTCATTTCCCTGATCTTAGACCCAGAGTATCAAATTTATCCACCACAAGTTAGCATTTAAACCCTCCACCTCCACTTCCCTCTCCTTATCTCTTGTTACTTCCCTAAATGGGGCCAAACTAATTTGGTAGTTAGCCTTCTTTATTCTTTATTCTTATTTCTTTTTCCTCATCTCTTTCTTGTTGCAGAGTTCTTCTTTCCTTCTGGCATGCCTTTGCTTCTTTATTCTATGTCTAGTTCCCTCCAATGATTGATCCCATTTGACTCCTTTTTCTTTTTCTCTCTTTGCATTCTTTTAATGCTTAGACGTTTAGTTTATCTAGTAATGTCCGTGATACCCTGTCCTTTTTTGTTGGCGTTTGTTTTGAATATACTACTTTTTAAAATTCAGTGTGGGAATTGTTGTTTCTATTTTATTTATGGCTCGCTCCTGGAGTCCTGAACATAGTAGTTGTCCTATAAATCTTCCTGGCTGACAGACTATAGAAGTTTTGGGGCGAGAGGTGTAGTGTTTAGCATTGTCAGCATTTTTTAATTTTAGACTTGCAAAAAAATATTTTTGTGCCATTACCTGACTTTTTAATTTTCTTTTGTTTTATACCAAGTTTTGGAGACTGCGTTCTCAGTACAGTATAATGAAGTTCAATAACATATATTACTACAAATATTAAATCTAGTTTATTGAACACTAGCCATCTGATCTATCAGATTCTCCCAAGAGAAAGGTTAGCTTTTTGGATGCTGGCTAGGCATTTTTTTTTTTTTTTTTGAAGGTGCATTATAGCCTTAAAGCCATTACTCACCATTTAATATATTAAGATCCTTGACAATTTAATAGCTACATAGTCACCACCCAGAATAAGGAGTGTTGACCTGGTTTTCTTCTGTGTGAAGCTCTGCTTTTGTTGCTGTCCTCTTGAAAAGCACTTCTTCCCATAACTTCTGTGTCCTCCAAAGTCAGTATTGGGAGGGAAAGGAGGATTATCGGGGTGGAGCTGGCTGAGAGAGGGATACAAGATGGAGAGCAGCTCCCAAACCTAGTAGGGGCTGGCTGTCTTACCTCCCTGCCTGCCCGCCCGCCTTCTTTCTTACCTGAGGAGCACCGTTGACTTAGAGATAGTCATCAGTTTATGGCACCTTACCAACATCATGAGTGCAAGTTTCTTGTTCTTTTCTCTTTAACCCTTTATCTTCAGTCCACATGCCCATTCCCTTTCCCATTCATATGTATCTATTGTGTTTATGTCCCTATACCTACATACTTGCTTGAAAGACCTGTAGTATAATTATGATGTCTTCAGCTTACATAATGGTATTTGCTTTTTACTCAGTGCCGTGCTTTTTAAGAGATTCATGTTGGTGTAGGTACATCTAAAGTGTGATTTCTAAAAGCTGCGTAGAATTCCATATTTCTATCCACTCCATTTTGATTTTTCCATTCTTCCAGTTACCAAAATCAAAATTACTTCAAGTAACTGCTACATTATCATCGCAGCAAACCTTCTCACACAGTCTATAAAGTCTGTAATTTGTACATAGACCATTCTATTTGAGAATTTCTCTGAAATTTACCCACCAGAGTGGGATCACAGGCTCACACAGGACAGAGACATACTTAATGGCACTAAGATCTCCTAGCAGAATGGCTGTGTCTGTTTACCCTCCTCCCGACAGCTTTGCCGACCTTTGCTGTTACCCACCATTCTCATTTTTGCCCTTCTGATTGGTATGAACAATGCTATCTCATTATCTTAATTTGTATTTTACTCATTGCTTTTTCTTTGAATTTGATCATCTTTTCATTTACTTGCTAGTCACTTCAGCTTCTCTTTCTGTAGGTTCCCCTACCCATAGCTTTTGACCATTTTTCTTTTGGGTTTCTTGTGATTTTCATATAAAATTGTAGGAATTCCTTGTCTATTCTAGACATTTAATCTGTCAATTTTGGATGTTGCAGGGGCTTTTCCTTGTCTGTCATCTATTATAGCTCTGTTTGTGGTATTCTTTATTGTACAGAAATCTGTAATTTTGTTGAAGTGAAGTCTAACAGTATTTCTCTATATAGTTTGTATTTTTGGAGTCTGATTTATGAAGTCTTTCTTCTCTCTCATGTCTTCTGCTCTGCAGTGTTAGCTCCAGTGGTTTTCCCCACAACCCTGTTTACATGGCCTTTTGAAGAGTGGTCTTTCCTTTTTTACCTGTGGCTCTCAGGAGGCTTGGCAGTTGGTGTTAATGCATGACTGCCCCTGATGCAGGAAAAAATGCAAGACAATTGATGCACGCTTTCTCTAAGCCCTGTGCTTCTACTCACAGAACCCTGTGACCCTGTTTGTGCTACATGAATCCTGTCTGCCCAGCAAAAGCTGATGGGAAAGGGATGCATACTTCCCCAAGCAGAGTAATCAAAATCTTTCTCCAAGGAATTTGAAGTTGTGACTAGTCTCTGCTGGCCTCTTGAAGGACATGCAAACTGAAGGGTTTTGGGGTGCCCATCTTCCTCCATGTTCACAAAGAAGCTAGAGAAATGGTCTGCCAGAAGGGACAATAAAGATCTGTGCAGAGAAGCACAGGAAAAAGCCTATGGCCCCATAGGGAGACAAAAGTAGGCTGTGAGAGTAGCTGTCCTGGATCCTGATGGCTTTCCAGTTTCTGGTTCTTTTCTCTTCTGAGACCAGATTGCACTTCCTTTTCTGTAGTAGTTAGTGGTGGCTAACTGCTGTAACAGACTCCAAAGTGTATAATGGCCCTAACACAATAGAAGTTTATTTCTCACTCACATAAACAGGTCCAGATGGTTCTAAGTTGGTTGGGTGGCAACACTGGAGGACTCTGCCACACAGTTATTCAGGAACCTAGATTGATGGAGGCTCCACCATTTTCATCACATGACTTCAGAGGTCTCCCTAGGTCAGCATGAAGCCTGCAGATGGGAAATGAATGTGGAGTTTAATACATGGGGAGTTTTATAGTCCAGGCCTTGATGATGCACATATCACTCCCATTCCTCTGGCTGGAACTCCATTGCATGGCTACATTTAACTGTATAGGAAGCTGAAAAGTGTTATCAAGCTGTGGACCTAGAAGGAAGAGAAAATGGGTTTGGTGAACAGCTAGAGATTGCCACATCATATTTATTATCTGTGTGATACCTCTGTATCCTTACAATCAAGTTCCTGTTTTTTTAACTTGTTTGAATTGGCTTCTGTTATTTATGCCTCAGTGCATGAGGTGTTTTCATAAGAACTATACTTAAAATAGTAGAAGAAATAAATACTAATTATTTTCTCAGGAAAGTTGGGTCGATTTCCACCTATGATGCATCATCACCAGCCACCCTCAGATGGCCAGACCCCCGGGGCTCGTTTCCAGAGGTCTCACCTTGCAGAGGCATTTGCAAAGGCCAAAGGATCAGGTGGAGGTACTGGAGGAGGAGGTAGTGGAAGAGGCCTGATGGGACAGATTATTCCAATCTATGGTTTTGGGATTTTTTTATATATACTGTATATTCTATTTAAGGTAAGTGGAATCATCTTGATCATATCAATAAAATCTAGTGTCATAATAAAAATCATTGTTGGCATTAAAACTCTTTACAGTTTATAACCTTTATTCAAATCATCTTTAAATTTTGCCTCCTCTTTATGAGATACTTAGGATAACTGTTATCTTGGTTTTACAGAAGAGAAGATCTTAGCTCAGGGCTTAAAGGGTTTGACCTAGAATTCACAACTAGAAATGCAGAATCAGGACTTGAGCCTCGGTCTTCTAGTTGCTAATGCAGTGAGCAGTAAAGATCAAAGAAAGCCCTCTCCCACCCCAGTTTTTTTTTTTTTTTTGGACTGGATGTCTTTGCAAGCTGAAAAGGCCTAAAGATATTTTAGGGAGAACTTTATTGTTAGAATTGGCACAGTGATTTCCAAGTAGCCACTGTGAGGCCCAGTAATGACCATACCAACACCACTTTGCCCTCCTTTCTCACTCCAGGACTATGAGGTGCTGATTTAACATTCACTGCAGTAATTCTGAAACAAAACTGCCAATCCTGGAAGTAAGCCTGATGTCTCCCTGCTCTGGGGAGATGTGGTTTGGGTCCTTTAAAAGCAGACTCCCAATTAAGTTCCACCTCTAGGCAGGCTTCAATCAAGCTATGGGCCTAGACACCGTGAAGTGGAGCAGAAGTCACGTTCTGCAGCCTTTTAGGAAATCTTAAATATTCACTGTGCCCTTCTAACCAGAGTAAGAAGCAAGTCCTTCTTGCCCAGAAACTCTGTGGGGGGCCTGAGTTTCCTCTGTAAGAACACCTCTGGGGGCTGCACATCCCCTTTGAGATGAGTATGGGCAAAGCAGATGACCTGGCCTTGTGCCTTGATGGTTTTTTCACTTCTTGGGAACCTTTTTTTTTTTTTAAGATTTTATTTATTTGAAAGAGGGAGAGAGAAAGCAGGAGCAGAGGGAGGGGCACAGGGAGAGGGAGAAGGAGACTCTCCGCTGAGCAGGGAGCCTGACACCGGGCTTGATCCCAGGACCCTGAGATCATGACCTGAGCTGAAGGCAGACGCTTAACTGACTGAGCCACACAGGAGCCCCTCTTGGGAACCTTCTATTGGTTCTTTCTCTCCTTTTTTTTTTTTTTTTTTTTTTTGAAATGTTTCTCTGATACTGATATTTGATTTGACTTCTGACTTAATTTTTGTCTCCCAGCCTTTTTTCTTTTTTCATTTAATATGACGGTTTCCATGACTTTGAGGTTCTGAGCTGCTGTTGATGTGCTGTACCTCCTTCCATTCTCAGCTTTCAAAGGGGAAAACTGCTGCAGAGGATCGGAAATGCTGTACTACCACAGCTGGAAACACCCACAGGAAAATTAGTAAGTGCCCCTTCTCAGTATATGCACAAGTTTTATTGAGTCAGACCGCTGTAATACAGTCAGAGGGACAGTCTGTGGATAGGTCTTAAAAAGCATTTCTGAAAAATTGCCCCAAGTTAATCTGATGCCATTTTTACCTAAGCTCTGGGAATTCTCAAGTTTCCAAATTGATGTTGGGCTTTCAAGAGAAAGAGAGTTACAAAAAGTACAAAACTGTCCATTTACTTTTTTATATATTAGCAAGTTAATATTTCACGTTTGGAGTGGGTTATTTCTCATTTCCAGACCTCAGAATATTTGTAGCAGATACCTTTTTTTTTTTTTAAAGATTTTATTTATTTATTAGAGAATGAGAGATAGAGAGCGCGAGAGGGAAGAGGGTCAGAGGGAGAAGCAGACTCCCCGCTGAGCAGGGAGCCCGATGCAGGACTCGATCCCAGGACTCCAGGATCATGACCTGAGCCGAAGGCAGTCGCCCAACCAACTGAGCCACCCAGGCGCCTGATACCTTTATTTCATAGAGAGGAAAACTAAGGAAGAGAGATCAAGTCCTTGCCAAAATCAGTTATGAGATCTAGGGACAGGGTTTAACACTTCTGACTCATGAAACATGGTCATCAAAGATTTATTGACCAAGTAGAATATTCTGTGCTCTCTGGGGAGATAAGATGTATATGGCATGGCTCTTCCCCCTAATAATTCATAGTCTGGGATGCAAAATAACTTGTGCAAAGTTTACTGTCTAGAAGGGGACTTGGGGAAAGCCTTATGGGAAACAGCATAGAGCTGGGTCCTGTCCGATAGACGGGATGGCTTGAGGAAGACACAGCCTGATATAGGATGGCTGTGGGAAAGAAGGCCTTGAGGAGTAGGTAGGTTAAGCCATGTTGTTGAAGGCCTTGGAGGCCAAACTTCCTTATCCTGTGGATAATGAAGCCTCATTAGAAGTTTTTAAAAGAGAGACAGCAGCAAAATGAAGTGAGGCTGAGCCACTGCAGCATCTGCCCTCGGCCATAACTGCTTTTTGGGTTTACTCCAGATTCTCTGTGGAAGTAGATACCCCAGTCACAGTCTGCATCCTTTTTAGAAATCTTAGATTCAAGAAATCCTTTAATAAATCTCTTGTGTTCTTAATGGAGATAACGTCTAACCAACAGTGATGGTAAATGCATTGGTAAAATAATTGAAAAAATTTTGGGACTCTGTTGAAAAATAACAAATTCTGTATCCAGTCACATAATGCATTGAAAACAGAAGTAAATAAAATAAATTCCTAAGATCAGCTGTTTTATAATGTAGCAGTTATATCTGCTTCTTATCCTTCAGTTTTGAATCATGCAGAAAATAAAAATAAGCATTTATGTGGCACAGTCCTCTAGACACTTTGCAGATGTTAACTGCATGCACAAGAATTTGTTCTAGAAGTATTAAAAGGCCTTTGAAATACTGTATCTTACAGTGGCCTTCTAAATATATCTGGGTAGAAGGGTACTAATGTATGAAACGGAAAAACTGGATTATCTGCGTAATGAACAGCATTTTGTTTTCCTGCTGCCTTAAAGTTGATTTCATGTACTAATAGATCTCTTTTTTCTACTCTACTTTTTAGGGTCTTAGTGTTAATGTCAGTAGATCAATGTGATCTCTGTTGACCTTTGTTGAGAATACTGGGGGCCAGGGTTACACCACTTCACCCCAAATGACGAGGGTAGGAAACCTTGGGCAGGGAGGCTTCAGCCCTAATTCAAGACTTCCCCTATTGAAGAAGCGTAGCATTGAAATCATGATCTTCCAGATATGTTTTCAGACTTTGGGTGCAGATGAACTATTGCTCATTTCAGGGTCTTAACTCCTTTTCTAACGTACCTTGCAGGCTTGGTACTTTGACCCTCAAGCATCATTTGGACTAGAAAGGATAGGTTTATCTTCTTCATTTCTTCTTGGGTGACCATGTTGAGGTTTGTTTTGTTTTTTTGCTCCTGGGTATTTTTCTTTAGTTGGTCCTGCTGTATTTCTGTGTGTAAGAGGAGTGATTTGTGCATTACTCCCTAAACATGTATCCTTTAGATCTCAGTGCCCACACCTTGGTACCCTTTGTGTCCTGATTGGACCAGCTGGAGAGACGCGGGGTTTCTTCTCTGAATCTCGGAACCAGCTGGGATGATTGTAGGGTGTCACAGCCAGCCAGTTTTGGACAAGAGCTTTTGGAGTTGTGTATGATGGTTCTTAGATTGATGCTTGTTTTTCAGCCAATTTTGAGCTTGTTCAACTGCAAGAAAAACTGAAGGAGACAGAGGAAGCTATGGAAAAATTAATCAACAGAGTGGGACCTAATGGTGAGAGGTAGGTTTTCACATACCAGGACTCAGACTATTGCCCATTTAGAGAATCCATTCAGAATTTTGCTTTTCCTTGATTTCTGGACCACTTACTTTCATTTTATATAATTAGCAAATTATTTGTCATTTGCATATTATTTCTAAGCATCCATTTTCATACCATATGTTTTCAAGAGTCTCAGCTTTCAAGAGTCTTTGTTCAGTGTTGTGCACATTATTGTGAGGAGAGGTTCATGAGCAGTTCTGTGGGGTGAAATAACCAGGTTCTAATGAAGATGATTTCATAGCTGTCTAATAATCTGGTTTTACTTAAAATTATGCCTTTTTAAATCTGCTTGAGACAAAAAGAAGGCGAGTATGATCAGATCAGGCATTTGTATTTTGTGTTGACTATGCCAGAACAGGATTAGACATGTAAAGTGCGTGTCAGGAGTCACACTGGCCTTTTAGGATGCCCTACAGGGGAGACAGCCCCCTGCTACAGGGCTGGCTGAGGATCTGAAAAGGTAGCTTCAGAAGGTTGATGAAAGTGGGGAAAAAGAAAGAGAATATGGATGTGGGGAGGCCAGGGAGGAAAAGCCAGAATGTGAGATTGAGAACAAAGAGGGATTCAGTCTCCACTAGGCCTTGTGATAAGGATGGAGGAAGAGCTGGGAGGTGAGTGGCAAAATCCCAAGTGCTAAAGGCCCCTCCTGTGGCCCTGCGGGCTCCCCGTGGAGTCTGCCCCAGGAAACTGCTGCTCCACTGTGCCTCTTCTGTCCGCCCTCTGGGTGGTGCGGGTGCCCCTTATCCTCTTCTTGGCTCCTTGGCTCCGGTCTTGTGCATCTTTGGCTAGATGAGGCAAGAGTGAACATCCTCAGATTGCAGCTCCTTGGCTTGGCTTTTTCTACAGTGTCTATAGTGCTGCTGCAATGACATTTACGAGGCTGAGCCTTGCCTATCTGCGCCCAGGAGCCTTGACCTTCTTTTGGTCCAGAAAGCAGAGTGACAATCCAGACTGTTGGCTAGAGTGGTAGAGGAATGTGGACATATTTATACATGAATATATCTCTGTCAGTGTGTAATACAATTTGATACTTGTTGAGCACTTACTAAGAACCAAGCTCTGAGTGAAGTGCTTTATATACATTATCTAATGTAGGAGTATTTGTAGGAGTGTGACTAAACCAATTTGTACTATACTTTTCTGATCTTTTCTGCCCTTACCCTCTACTACTCACAGTCTGGGTTGGGAACTACCACCCTTTTATGGACCCTTGTCCCTCAAAAAGTGTCTGTACCCTGGTTCTGGTCCATTTGAAGACTCATGCCACACCTAAGGGTCATGAAAACCATAGATGAAAACCTGTGGGCAGGGCCTCCCACCTGGGAGACTAAACCACTGGGCCTTGGAGTAAGAAGCCAGAGAAAGATATTTTCTCACTATTACTGCTGTTCACACTCCCTTAGCTCAAATCACATAGCTCTACCTTCCCACCTGTATAGACCATCTGTGCATTGCCCTGACTACTTTCTCTGCTTTGTGCTAGGATTACTTCTCTGTAAGGCAGAGGAGTTGTCCCCACCATGCAGCTGGAGTTGTGCCATCTCATTGTTTCTGGGGCCACAGGTCCTAGCTCAGAACGTTTACTCCTTTTAAGATGCTAAGGTGTGGACTCCTTGAGAACCTATTGATTCCAGCCTGCCACATGGCAATGACTGTGTAAAACATTTTCTGCACAGTACTTCTCAAGAGCTAGGGATCGGCTTTTCCTCCACTGCAGAGAGCATAGCTTGTGGCTCCCTTTCCCAAATCTTTCCTCTTCTAGTCCTAAAAAGGTGACCATCTCCCTGTCACTCCTAATCCAACACCTTTTATCCTTACAGGTAGGCCCTATGAGACTTCACCTCCAACACTGAAAGGCCCTGGTAGCCCCATGTTTTACATTGTTTTCCTTTTTATACTTCTATCCTTTAACCTTAGTCTCTGTGACATTTGTTCTTCAAGTCTGTGTTTCTGTGATTATTAGAAGAGCCCCAAATACCCTAGTATTTTTCCATCAGATTAAAATTGAACACATTTCCAGGCTCTGGGAGTCTGAGAGGATTTAAGACATAGAAGACATATTCATTTCAGCCTTTGAAGTCCCTTTATAGAATGTTAATTCCATAATTGTAAGATTTTCTTAAAATTCCAGAAGTACAGTTTCTGAGCCTTCATCTCAATGCTTATGTAAGAATCAAAATATGGGGAAGGTTTTTAATATTACCTAATAAAACTTTCAGACAACTTTTACCTGTGAGCAATATGTCTATGTATGTGTTTAAGCCTTGTAGAAGGTTGGTATTGTGTCATGTTATGCCTGATATTAAGCACAGTATCCATCCCAAGGACATAAAGACTAAGAAAAGGATCTAGGAATCAGAATTGAGGTGTCCTTACTTCTGTCCTTAAGATCAGCAGCACTTCCTTTCTGGAGTAGCATGTCCGGTTGTAATCCTTCACCTCCTGGAAGCATGGCGTGACGTGAGGGAGCAGTGAGGGTGCAGCCTGAGGCAGAAAACAGCCATAACAGGCATGCTGAGGACATGTGTGGCCCTGTAGATTTAGGGCATACATTGCTGGGATATAAACTTACAGAGGACAGACTTAGTCTGTTTTGTTCACTGTGTTCACATAGTAGATACTAAGGAAATTCTTATTGTTGAAAAAGGATAGATACTCACTTTTGAAATAAGCATTTGTACATGTATTATGGTAGAAGAGGTAATCATGGCATTCTTTGCTAAGGTCCTCTCTTCATTTCCTGTCCTCTATATTCAGGGTCCTACTGAATATGTCTCATAGATGACCTGCCCTTCTTCAGTTAATAAATGTCTTTTGAATGAATGGATGTGCAAAATGGAAATCATCATCTATCCCAGCTGACTCTACTCCACCTTTAATATTCTCCATCTCCTCAAATGGCTCCACCATCTACTTAAAAGCCCAAAGCAGAAATCCAGTATTATCCTTGATTTACCTTTTCCTTCACTTCCTATGTCTCTTCGATCATCCTGTCTTGTCATTTCTTCCAAGTTAATAAGTCTCTCTCCCTGCAAAAGACTCTAAGCTCTGCTAGGGCAGGGATTATCTGTATTATTCCCAGAGCCTAGCATAGGCCAACAGTAGGCTCTAAAGTATTAGCTGAAATGGAAGAATGAGTGAGTGAATGAATTTTTTTTTTTTTTAAATATAGTTGACATACAGTGTTCTATTAGTTTCAGTATACATTACGTAGTGCTCACTACAATAAGTGTAGTTACCATCTGTGACCATACGTTATTAATATTATTGACTATATTCTCTATGTGGTACTTTTCATCTATGCGGCTATTTTATAGCTGAAAGTTTGTATCTTTTAATAATTTCCTTTACCTAATCCATCTTGAGTTTATTTTGTGTATGATGTCAGAAAATGGTCCAGTTGTATTCTTTTACATGTAGCTGTCCAGTTTTCCCAATACCATTTATTGAGAAGACTGTCTTTTCTCCATTGTATATTCTTGCCTCCTTTGTTGTAATTGACCACACAGATGTGCGTTTATTTCTGAGCTCTCTATCCTGTTCCATTGATCTATGTCTATTTTTGTGCCAGTACCTTATTGTACCAAAGTGGATAACTACAACTTGGTAGTTTATCTTGAAATCTGGGATTGTGCTACCTCCAGCTATGTTCTTCCTTCTCAAGATTGCTTTGGCTCTTTGGGGTGTTCTGTGGTTCCATACAGATTTTAGTATTTGTTGTTCTGTGAAAAATGCTATTGGTGTCTTGATGGACATTGCATTGAATCTATAGATAGCTTTGGGTAGTATGGACATCTTAATATTCTTCCAGTCCATGAATGTGGTATATCTTTCCACTTGTTTGTGTTGTCTTCAGTTTCTTTCATTGGTGTCTTACAGTTTTCAGAGTATAGGTCTTTTACCTTGTTCTGTGAAAGGGAGGCATATGCAAAATGATCTCCAAAGGCCTAAGGAGCCATAAGATGGAAGAGAAAGGCTGAAGAATCGAGTTTGCCAGCAAGTGGTTTATTAAAGGGACATATGAGCAGAAGTGTGTTGTGGGTGGCTGCAAGACAAGTAGATCTGCACAACCCCACCTACCATTAAGTCCTGCTTTTATAGCCTTAGAGAGTGGGGAGTATATGTGCTAGGAGACCTGGGAGGAAATGTTTCAGAATCACAGTCCTCTCTCCAGAGAATATCAAGGACTTTATACCTCAAGGGAGTACCTAAGGGTGTCGTCAAACAAAAAGTATGTGTGGTGGGGGAGTGCTATACTGAAGAAGGCTTCAGGTTACAGAGTGGTCATCATGGTGGATTTGTGCAAGATGGTATTAGTCTTGTTCACACACACTTCTTTGGTTATATTTATTCCTAGGTATTCTTTTTGGTGCAATTGTAAATGGGATTGTTTTAATTTTTCTTTCTGCTACTTCATTATTAGTATGTAGAAATGCAGGTTTCTATAAAATAGATTTCTGTATATTTGGTATCCTGCAGCTTTACTGAATTAATTTATCAGGTGTAGTTAATTTTTTGGTAGAGTCTCTAGGGTTTTCCATATATAGTATCCTGTCATCTGCAAATAGTGACAGTTTTACTTGTTTCTTACCAGTCTGGATGCCTTTTATTTATTTTTTGTCTGACTGCTGAGGCTAAGACTTCCAGTACTATGTTGAACAAAGGCTGTTTCAGCAGTAGTAAGAATATCTTCTCTGGCACCTAGTTTGATTTACTCTTTGCAGCCCTATGTGGTTGTCAGTGGCAGCTATTTTCTCTCTAAGGAACCGTATCTCAGAGCAAGTGTACTCCAGGGACGGCATTAGTTTTCTGTGGCCGCTGTAACAAATGGCCACAAACAAAATGCCTTAAAACAACAGTTATTATCTCACAGATCTGTTGGATGTCCTGCATTGGGCTAAAATCAAGGTGGCAGGATTGCATTCCCTTTTGGAGGCTCTGGGGTAAAATCCATTTCC